GTTGTCTGTTTCTTCCAGAAAGTGCCCCAGAGAGTCCATCTGAGGTCTGTGGGTGATGGCCTCCCTGTCTGCTCATGGGTGAAGTGCCCAATCTGGGCAGGGGATGCTGTCTTACAGGCAGGCGCTGGCTGGCTAATGTAACTATAGAAGGGATTGATTTCTTTAACTGCTGAAAGGCTGCCTTCCTGCAGGTGGAAGGTGGCAGCTCTTGATCCAAGAGCATCGATTTGCTGCAGTTGGTCGGCTCAAATTGTAGAAAAACTCCACACGACTGGCTAGCTAAGGGAGCAGACCAGGTGATTAAAGCTGGGATTGGGTCTGAAGTGAGTAGAGCCTGCAGCTTTTAACAAATGGGCTCCTCCCCCGGCCTAACCTCGTTCCCACAGCTCTGGGGTTGTGACCTCAGGCTGGGGCTCAGACAACCCTATCTTACAGTTCCCATCAGGCATTAGCTATGTGGACTTGGTCAGCTGCTTAACCTCTTCTCACTCACTTTCATACTCACAGAATTTTTCCTGAGACCTTTAGAACATGTGCACACACTGTGCCAGGCCCCAGGGATAAGGGCTGTACAATAGTTTGGCCCAACCATAAATTCCAGCCACCACCAGTTCCACTGTCTGGGGTTTCTGCACAGTGAGCGCCACCTCCATTCTGGGAAATGTCTGGGTCCTCACGTACCTGAGGCAGGTTTGGCTCCATTTCTGTTCTGTATATGTGGAAACTGCCAAGATGGGAGGGAGGCTGCCCATTTTCCCTCTCTGATTGTTTAACTGGGAAAGAAACTTGGACCCAAGATGGCTCCTCGCATTCTGTGAAAAGTGCTATTTTGTCTTTCCTCAGAAGGAGTTTTGAAGCAACCAGAAGCTCTGCCTAGAATAGAGTGGCAGCTGTCACCTGAGAAAGGCCCTGGCATAAATCACAGGGATGCCAGGAAAGGAGGGCAGTTCAACTAGAACAACCTGCCAAGAAACTGGGTTGTGTTTTCTTTTCCTTATCTTGCAAATCAGACACGTTAGAACTGAAAACCTTAGCCCCTGCTGCTGCCTTCTTCAAACAGAGATTAAGGACAGCTCTGGATGCTGAAGGTGGCTCTTTAAATCTCTCTCTGTCCATGCCTGGCTGTGCCAAGCTTGTGGGCACTGTCGCTGCATCCTCTTCTAGGCTGCCTGAAGCCATGATCGCTCGGTGCTAGGTGCCGAGCATATTCCAAAATCATAGTCCCTTCCAGCTAAACATGGCAGTTTAACCCATGCAGTCAGCTCTTCTTCCTCCTGAAGCCTCACTAAAATACCTGCCACAGAGAACAATGTTATGAAACATAGGATAGAGGAAAGGTGAGAAATTGTGAAAGACATCAGTGTGTTATGGGAAGATGGAAAACAGATGAATGAATGGTGACTGGCTCACCAAACAGGGGGACAGCTATGGCCTTTGTGCCCACAGAGAAGACACTGAGGAGAAGCAAGCCAACAGCCGCAGGGGTGCAGCAGGGGCCCACACACCAGCAGGGCCATGGGGTTGATTGAAAATCTGTCCAGGTTTAGTTGGAGCCCAGGTCCCTCTCCAACCCTTGCAGAGAGGCAAACACCAAACCCCTCCCCAGCTCGTCCAACTTCTTCCCTTACAAACTGACCCTGGGGCCTCTCAGGCCCTGAGCACGTCGTGAGCCATACACCAGACAAAGGAGGGACACACAGGCTGAAGATGGGGAACAAGGACATGTCTACATTCTGAACCAGGAGGCCCTCCAAGCTGCCCACCTGCCCTGCCCTCCAAATGCTGCCAGCCAGGGCCTAACTGCCCTGGGGAGAGGTGGCTGCTTGTCTGGGGAAATGGAACAGGAAATGCTAGGTCCTGATGTTTGAGGACCCCCTTAAATCTCAGAAATTGAGAAGCCTGACTTAGGCTTTCAGAACTGCTCATCACTTCTATTTTTAGTTATGTCTTTCCAATTAATTAATTAATTAATTTGAAAATTACCAGAAAGTTAACTTGCCTGAACCCAAACTGCAAACTCTGTCTCCCCTGTGGTGGGCAGTGGCTGAAATCTCGGGTCCATATTTTAACCTTAGCTGATCTCCTTAGAGACTGCCTGCACATGTGGTTAGGGGGTGCAGCCAGAGATGGGATGGGAGTTTGTATACAGACCTGGGGGCTCCCCCATCCAAATCTCTCCTTCCCAGCGAGCCCGTCACTTTGTTGTTCAGGACTCTGGGTATTCAAGTCAGTAGGCCTGGGGGTTTCTATTAGAATTCTTACCCTCTGTGTGTTATGAAATGTGACTTGTTCTTAGGCTAGAAACTACAACAGCATGAGAAATGACGAGTGTTCCCAAATGTCAGCTCTTCTCTAATATCTGGCTACTTTTGATCACTCTTCAGTGCCTTCAGATAGTTGTTTTTTATATTTTGTTCAGGATTTGCTGGGGGAGGGTTAGTCTATCATGAGCTAATAGGAATTACGTTTTGGTATTTATTGCTTTTCAGTGACTTATTCTCCCATCACTTTTCTCTGTCTCACATTTAAATATGAATGAACAGCTAAGGATCAGCAGAAGTTTGAGGAAAGCACACAACATTAAAGACAATGAAACAAAAAGAAATGGGGGAAGACTGGAGAAGGGAATGCTCAGAGGAAATAGTGATATTGCCCAGAACAGACCAAATGTAAAATAAACCCTCCACAATAATATCCTTAGAAAGACAAAAATTATTTCACCTGCTGAACAAAAGCAGGCTACTATTTATAAAAAAGAATCAGAGAACAAGAAAGATCTTAGAAATTAAAAACTAGAATTATAGAAACATTCAATAGTGGGAGAAATCTTCCATAACATAGAACAAAAAGACAGATGTGGACAATAAGAAAAGAATATTAGAAAATCAATCTAAAAGGGCAACATCTGACTAATAAAAGACCTAGAAAGGGAGAAGAAAGAACATGGAGTAGAGGATACTGTCAAAGAAATAATACAAGAAAATGTCCCTGAACTGTGGGTCATGAGTATCTGCAGCCTAAGCCAGGGATTGGCAAACAATTGTCCATGGAACAAATTTGGCCTGCTGCCATGTTTTATAAATAAAGTATCATTAGAATACAGTCAACAGTCATGCTTGTTTGTTAACATGTTGTTCTCAACTGCTTTGCTGTAACGGTGGAGTTGAGAAGTTGTGACAGAGACCATAAGGCCCACAAGCCTAAAATATTTACTATCTTGTCCTTTTCAGGAAAAGTTGGCTGATTCCTGATCTAGATGAACAGATCCTTGCATTGGCCAATACAATGAATATAAAAACTCAGATCCCCCCCACAAAGGACATTACCTTGAGTTTTTAGAATACTAGAGATAAAGACAAAATCCTAAGAGAATCCAGAAAGGAGGGTCACATATGAAGGATCAGAAATCAGAATGGGATTGAATTTCTTAAAAGCAACAGTGATTTCAAGAAAGTGGGTTGATGATTTTAAAATACTACAGAAGAAACAACTTTCAACCTGGAATTCAATCTAGTGCAAGGACAGGATAAAGGTGTTTTCAGGCAGCCATGATTTAAAAATTGTACCTCTGTCTTCTGTGGAGGATATGCTTCAACACAATGAGGCAGTAAAACAAGAAAGAGGAAGTCATGGAGTCCTCTGAGTTGGATGGTGGTGGGGGATTCCTGGTGACAGCTGTGTGCCAGGCCCAGATGGCAACTGGTACAGGTAGGAGCCAGGGGTGGGAGGGAGGGTCTCCAAAGTACATGGAACCGATGGCTTGTCTATGTAGAGGAGGAAATTTCCTTCTGTCCTCTTGGGCTCTGTGGCTGGGCTAAGAATGAAACTGATATAAGACAGATTAACAGGAGAAAAACATACAAATTTTTAAATATGTTTATGTGTACACTGTAATCTTCAAAAGGAAAAAGAAGACTCAAAGAAGCCATTCAGCCTGAAAGCTTATTTACCTTTTTATGAGTAGAATGGTAAATTGTGAGAATGTGACGAGATAAAGGGGCCTGGGCTCAGGGCAGGAAATGTGGGATAGCAACTAGGAAATACACGGGACACTCACGGAGGATCGGTATACTGTAGGAGGTTTGTCTGTACAGGATGACAAATTGGTCTCTGTACTAAAAGGGTTTATTGAGACTTTACATATGTGCCAGATAAGGATTGAATCTTGGGACAGGAAGTTTCTGCTTCACCAGCAGAAACAACTTGTCTGCCAGACTCAAGAAATGGAAGCCATTTATGAAGAGTCTCCAGGAAAGAAGTTCTTTAAATTCACATTGACTACAGATAAGGAAGGTGGGCTAACTTGAAGCCGGCCAAGTCTAGGGTAGTTAGTCCAGAGAGGAGGCTCGTGGGCTGGTTGTTGATGATATTCAGACACTGGCCACGTGCAAGGGGACACGGTGGTCCTAGGGACCTTCTTGATGCTTGTTGAAATTACTTCACCCAGGGATGTGGAGTTTCTGGTTAGCTACACCCCACAGCTACTGACTGATTTCCTTCCCTTGTCTCTCTCTACCTCATTCTCTGGCCCTTATGTAATTTAATTGTAGGTCATTTCAGATTTTTCCCTTATAAAGATCCATTCTGGCATTAACTCCTAGACTCTGGTGATAAGACTGCTCTCTTCCTGGCACAGGAAGGGCACCTTTCTCATGGGGTATTTTATGACCTAATTTTAGGAAAAAAGAAGGAGCTGAGAGAGCTCTTTCTGCATCTGCTCTTTCTCAAGTGACTTCAGCTCAAAATAATCAATATGCCAAAGCAGCATATTTTGGGGTGGCATGTTCTGAACCCCTTTATGTGTTGAACCAAGTAGAGGAAACATTGAGAAAGGTTCTACAGACTGTTGAGTGTTTGGGAACACTTGGCACTCATTATACAGTAAACTAAGCAAATAAAAAATGCAATTATTTCAGGAAAAACAAATTGTATGAGAAAGAAAATGTAATTATAGTACTGACTCAACAGTGAATAATATTTATATAATCTGCCAGGTGTCCACAGTGGTTCCCTCTCCTGCTGGGTGGCCCAAGAAACACCTCCTTCCTCTCATCCCTCCAGCCCTGGGAGAAGCAGGAGCTGGAGTAACCAATCTCTGCTCTTCCAGCAATTCTAGCACTTTCTGACTATATCCTCTATTGGATTGTCTAGCATATGTTTATGGATACTGACTTGTACAGAAGCCAATATGTCTAAAATTGATAAATGAAGAAATAACAGAGTAAGTATTATGTTAAAAGCATGGAAGTAAATACCAGAAAAAAAGTACAGTGAAAGTGTTTGCCTGTGAACTTGTGGGTGGGGTCAGAGCAAGGGAATATATTAAGGAAGATGAAAAAGAGGGGATGATTATTTTAAGAAACTAGTTAATAGCTTTTTTGAATCTGAAAAACAAAGTCTGGGGACAGTATGAAAGAAACAGATTATGACAAAAGGGGTCTACGTCCTCTGTCCAAGCAGAATTGTTGAGCCTTCCCTTGTCCACCTTTGCGACCCCCAATCGGTCAGTGTGGGAGCCAAGACGAGGAGTCCCTCCAGGGAGACGGGAGATGGGAGAGCCAACCCAAGCACCTGGCGGGTCATCAGAACTGGCACAAGGATCTCCTGAGGCTTGAGGAACAATAATCTGTCTGACGTCTGCGGCAGTTGTTTTCCTGAACGGCGCTATAATCCTCACCTGCTGTTAAGAGAAGGTGGGTTTTGTGCACCAGCCTGTATCAGAGATGTTAGGGGGACTAAAAGAGAAAGGGGCCACTGTCCACATGTCCATACTTGAATAAGACTCAGGAGAGGGTTTGCGCTGGTGTGGAGCTGGAGCTCAGACGGAGCGGCTAAGAACCACCATGAAAACGGAAGCCGCATTTCATCCGGAATGCTTGGGAGTGCTGAGGAGGGACCTGGACTTCCCGCTGCTCTATCTTCCATGGATTTCACAACTATCTGCTGAATACCTTTTATGTGCCAGATCCTTTCTGGGCACTGGTGACACAGGGTTAATAAGACAAAGTCCTTGTCCTTATTTTATTTTTCTCAAATAGATTCCAGTGCTGTTTGTGTTACCAGTCTCTCTTTAAGAGGTTGTCTTTCATCTACTTCACCTTATTGGTTAAGTCCACGCCACAAGCCCTCAAGGGTAAGGTCCTATAAGCCAGATACACTTCTGCTGGCCTCATCAGTAATGACCATTTACTGTCTATATAACAGCTATCCTGCCAAACTCCCTATGTATCTAACTTAAGGGGACAACAACCTGTGTCTGTCTGACCCTAAAGCTCTGTCCTGGACCAATTGCCATCACTCAAATATTAGCATCTTAAAAGCCTAAATTACTTTCCAAGAAAAGTACTTCAGGCCCAGCCAGTAAAGAGTTATTTTAGAATCCATATCTATGGGACAAGGACAATATTTAAGCATTCTTTCTCCCAGAAGAGTTTTTTGATAGTCCTTTAGATCAAATGCACTTAGGCTTAAATAACATCATGGTTAAAACATTCTCTTTCAAATGTTCAGATATTTGCCTTCAAACTGTAGTCCCTTGTTTACCCAAGTCTTTAGAAAGTACTTTCTGGGCTGCCACCAACTTTTAACACATTAATACACAAGGGAATGCATCTTCAAATACAGACAATGAAATCCAATTTTTCACAGAGCTTCCTGAAGATCAGATGGGGGTGGGGGTCAGATTGAATATGACATGGTCTAATAGTCTCATGCAAAATGTCTCCATGCTTACCAGGATGTAACTTAGGCCATCTCCAGGGACTACTGCAGAGAAATCCCTGGGAGAAAGAAAAATGTTAATTTCTTTTCCAATTACCAGTATGCTCTTTAATTCAAATGAAATGTCCCCAGTGTGCTAGATACTTTATGAGATCTGACACAAAGACCTGCTCCAGCCCTCAAGGGATTTCCGTGAAGGAAAGCTGTGACACATTCTGGGGCCGTAGAGGGCCAGACAAATAACACAGAGCAAAAGGAGAGGATACTTGCACTTTTTCTCCTGTGTCCGAGACCAGAGAGACTGAACCCCGATTAAACTTTCTTCTCATTTATAGTCTTTTGCTGTGGGTAGAGAGAGTAGATGGAGCAGGAGTAATGCTTCTTTTCCTTTCATGTGCACAAACTCACCTTGAAATCAAGCCTTCATATGTCAGCACCTACGAGATAAGTAGGTACAGCCTGTGTGGTACAGGCTCTTCCAGAAATTTTTGCAGCCAATTTTCTCTCCTACAAAAATATCTCAGGAATTTTTAAGGAAAGTCAACTCCTTTTGAGCAACTGCCCTGCTCATTCTCTGCTGTGTGGGGTGATCCACAGGAGAATGGCCATGGGTAGCAAGTCTAGATGTCACTGGTTTGATCCGGGTCTGCTAGAAGGAGCTGTTTCTCCTGCTGCGCCTGTCTGTGATGGTGGCAGCAGCTTCAGCTCTGGCCTAGGTACCAGTTTGGATATGTTATGCTAAGTATACTTGTCAGTTAAGATTATTTTGGTCAGACTGCAAGTAATGGAAAGCCCTTGCTAAAGGATATATCTTTTAAAAAGGTAAAATTATGACTTCCATACAAATATAGAATGAACACATGCCAATGATTTTATTTAACTCATTAAAGAGAGAATTGGTAAGATTACAACTAATTCAAAGGAAAATCTGAAGAGCAGAGACATGTACAGGCAATCAGGAATACTAAAATGAATTTGCTTAGTAGAGCAAAACTGTGGGAGAACAGTCACACCTCTGCCAGACAAAATTCATTTGCATGTTTATGGACAAGAGTCATTTGCATTGCTGGCAGTTCCATATAATTTACAGAGTTGTGAACTAGCTCAACAACACCAAAATGTGCAGAGAACCCACAGAATCAAGTAACCTGGCAGTGTATACTAGGCAATGCCTAATTTTCCTTTGAAGACAATTGGTCCATTTTAAAGGCTTTCAAATTTTTCCTTTTACCCTATAGTGGCTTAAATCAGTAAGGCACTGATTTTTCTCAAGTACTAAGCAGCCTAGAAATAAACAGTCCTGGGCTGTTACAGTGGTTTATGGGGATATTAGACCCAGTTACCTTCTACCCTCTGGCCTTCCATCCTTGATGTCATTCCCATCATTTCAAGATGCCTGCTGTGTCTCCAAGCATCTCTTCCTGAATTCTGGGCAGGAAGCTAGAAGATTCCTGATTCTTCTTTTGAAATTTTCTCTTCATATCTGGGAAAGGAAAAGCTCCTCCAGGATCCTATGGCTACCCTAGCTGTAAGAGACACTGGGAAGGTGAGTATTCTGACTTTTTTCACTCTGTAGCAGAAGGAAACATGGGAAAAGCTGGCACCCAGTGGTTTGGGGCAGCCAGTATATATTTACCATGTTATACCTAGTCCGTTATTGGTAATTCCAAATGGGGGTCCTAGAAAGTTTCTTTGCTTAGTACTATAGATATTTTATTTATGATTTTAAAGACATTTAGATTAGGTATATGTAACTAATTACAAGTGTAAAGGTAAGACTACTAAGTACTGAGCTTAAATATAAAAACCAAACCTGCAATTGGAAGGATTATGTACCAAAAGCTCCAAGTTCAGAGAATTCTTTGGACATGAGGAGTTGTTTGGAAAGAAAGGTCCAAGAAGTTGAGTTGATACATAGAAGGAATTTTTTTCCTTTCTTCTTTTTTATTGGAGTGAAAACTGAATCTGAAAATCTGACAGCTATAGGTTTGTATGATGTCAGTGGAATTTGTAGCAATGGAATATTTGAAGTGTTGTTTTTGATCCAGAATAGTTATTCTTTTGTGCCTTTTCCCTTAGATTTTCTATTCTCTCTGATAGGCAAACAGGCTCAGGTGTGTGAGCTTTGTTTCTAGGTAGTACTCTGGAAAGCCTTACTGTCATCTGGAATACTTTGCCCTCCACTTTGGGAACATTACAACTCAGTCTCATTGACCTGTGTGACTGCAACCTTCTGCATCCATTTCTGTTCTGTAATCCTTGCCTCTACTTTCTGCAAGTAGGTCAGGGGTTCAGACAGTTAGCTCCTACTTGGAGACAAATTTCAGTAGTCTAGCCTAGTGCCCCCTAAAATATCTCGAATGACATTTGACATTCAGATGGGATTTTAAGTATAATTAACTGAATGTTATTATTTAAGTATCCAGAACCAACCCCAACTATTTTGCACCATCCATCCCATGTCATTCAGGGAAGTAGTAGGAATTGTTAAACCATGGAAGTCTAGATGTACAACTCATTTCTGTCTTGAAGGCTGCACCATCATTCCTGGCTGGTGTGACCTATAGTAGAAGAAAAATTCATTTTCTCTCTACCTATTTGTCTCAGTCTATTCAGTCTTCTATAACAGAATGCCATAGACTGGGTGGCTTATAAACAACAGAAATTTATTTCTCACAGTTCTGCAGCCTGGGAAGTTCAAGATCAGGGTACCAGCAGGTTCAGTGTCTGCTGATGACTATCTTTTTGCTGTGTCCTTACTTGGTGGTAGTAAGAGATCAGTGAAGCATTTCTTTTAAAGGGCATTAATCCCATTCACAAGGGCTCCACGCTCATGTCCTAATCACCTGCCAAAGGCCTCACTTCCTAATTCCATCATGTTGAGGGCTAGGGTCCACAATATGAACTTTATGGGGACACCAACACTCAGTTTACCACCATGTTACGTTCATTCTCTGGGTCCTTGTAAGTTGGACTGACAAAAGGCAGATGAGCAAGAGAAAAACCAACAGAAGTTTATTAGTCTTTGCATTGATCAAATACACAAGGGAACACTTAGCAATGAGGAACTCAAAGCTGTGATTAGAACTTGGGCTTATAGAACATCCTAACAAAAGAACGATACATTTTTAGAAAAGTGACAAGATGAAGGAAACACTTTTGAGTTTCTAGGATGACAAACCATGAGAAGGTAAAAAACTGTGGTGAAACGAAATGGAAGATAAGCACCAGTTAGTAAAGTTTGCTATGTAGAATCTTCTGGTGCCATTCGGGGCTGATATCTCTGGTGATTAACTTTTGTCCTTCCTGGCAGAGAAGTGGGGGACACCTTTACAGATGCACATTCTGCTATGGACAAATAGGGTAGGGCCGAGAGCTTTTCCCCAATTGCCTTCACTCTAGATGGTCATTATGCCAAAGTGGCATGTTTTGGGGTGGAAGCCCCTGCTGTACCGAGACCCACGATGTCTCAGAGGTCTTTTCTATGGAACCAGCATCAACACTGTTTAAGTTCTTTCTGCCATGTGAGCCTTACCGGTTCCCAGTTCTACCTTTCGGCTTTCTCCTTTCTTCCTGTTTTTATGTGACTGTTTTCTTCTTTCTCCTTTCTCTTGTGCCATTTCTCATCTTAGCATCAATTTCTCAGTTGTGGTTCTAAGTCCCTCTCCTTTTTGGCTGTCTGTATCTTGCTCTCAGTGAGAGGGCCTCTTTATTTCTTTTCAGAATGCAATCAAGAGGACAGTCTCCTCAGGAAACACACTCCCCATTTCTGGCGGTTCCTGCTTTTTGCATGCAAAACCAGGTAGCTTGCTTTACTTCAAAACATCTGTAGCCACAGCTGGTGGCAGAGGCCTGCAGGGATCCAAACCACCTCAGTTCAAAGGCTGTCTGCTGATTAGCACCTTGAAGAGACTGGGAAAATATACCTCAAGGCTTTTAACCTTTCTTGCGGGGTCACAATACAAATTGCTCACTTACATTTTGATGTGAGGCTGGAGAACTGTCTGGCTCTCTGGGAAATGTCAGTGCCAGTGTAATAAAGGAGAAAGAGGAGTTGCTGGTTAGAAAAGTCACTGGGCTCCTCTTAGCACCACAGAGCCACTGTGGACAGTTCTGGCCAAGGGCAGCCTCCAAGGAACTCATGAGCAAGCTGGGAGTAAATGAGTGCCTGGTGAGAACAGGAATGCCTGGTCGTTCTCTCAGTGTGCTTTTGGGAAGAGCCCTGAACCCGAAATGACATTTGATTTGTCTTTACTTTGCCTCTGCTAAAATTGGTAGATCTTACTTTCCATGACCTCTCCAGGCCTTACTTTTTTTTTTTATATATGCACAGCTGTAAGGAAAAATGTTTTTTGATTAACTTAAAAATGTTATTAAAGAGACACAACAGTACATGCAATTATTATATTTAATTAAATAGATTCTGTTTCTTTTCCTCATTACTCAGTACTATTGTATTTAATTTATTTTGCCTTCTTCACCATGTAACAAACATATATTAGAAACTTTTAGGAAAAAAAGTCATTCTTTTTCTCATTTTCTGTACCTTTATTTTCATTGTCTATATTGAAATAAGTATGGTTTAGTTTTTTTTAATATCATTAATGTATAATTACTTGAACATTACGGTTACTAGATTCCCCCCATTATCAAGTCCCCACCACAT